GATCAGTATGTCGAAGACTCGAACTATAGCTATCTGTCATCAGACGAACACCAAGACTCCACTGTACGTTTCCGTGCGTGCGGTACATATAACTTGAATATTTAGGACGATATATGCACCAGACACTGGTATTGTACTTCATAGTAAATTATTTCATATTTTGTGTATTACAGTAATTTACAGCAAGTACATTAATTTATAAACCTTATAAAGACCTTTCATTCCATTGCCCATTCAGGGCTTTATATTTGAAGAATAACCCGACAGCTTCTTTCGACTTGTATAATGCTGCTGTAAGTCATCAATATTTAAATCAACTTTAAATAATCTTTATCGTATACTGTATAAATGACATTTTAGCAGTTTCACCAAACCATACTAGAGGCAAACAACGTATCTATCAATGGAAACTTAAAAAGGCTTATTAAAAGTTAATTATAAGTAATTCTATGAGCCGGACTTCGTGCGCATATATACAGTTTATAAATTATGTATATATATATGTATATATATATATATATATATATATATATATATATATATATATATATATATATATATATATATATATATATATATATATATATATATATTTCAAAAACTCATTAATAATTCATGAGGAAAACACAAAGAGAAATGGCATAAGCGTGGCGTGTCTTTATATGTGATAAAACACACTTCAAATTTCAACTTGTATTTTCTCAGTTAATACAAAGTTATTTTGGAAAATTATTTCGCCAATGCCGTGATCTAACTGAGACGTTTTTGAAGCTGTTTAATAAACTCGTAGTTCGTGTTTTATCACATATAAAACACTCCGCTACGCGTCGTGTTTTATATGTGATAAAACACGAACTACGAGTTTATTAAACATATATATATATATATATATATACATAATTATATATATAACGAGCTCATACGACTGCTCATGAGAGAGAACTGCTCAAGATGGGACTAGATGCGTGGGTGCTATCGGGTGATGTCTATAATTGTATTACTATAAAAATTATATTCTAGTAAGGATATTAAATTAAAGCGATACCAGCTAAATTTATTAATTTAATATGATAACAATTCCGATACTATGCATTTTGCCCTTACGAAAAAATCCTATAGGAATTCCTCATAGGAATTCCTATTAGATTTTGGCCCAATTTCCTATAGGAATTCCGATAGGATCCTATACGAATTCTTATAGTGTACATCTGTCTGACCAACATCACAACTGAAAGGTTGAGATGCATTGTTATACATTTCTTTTACAGCTGTTCAATTATTTGATGATGGGACATATGTGGTCCATATATGTCTTTCTTTCAGGATGCATTGGACATATTCTCAGATGACAGTGAGCAAATGGTAGAAAAGCAAGTAGTTCACAGTTTGAAGGCTGTGAAGTTGGTGGAACATAACCTCAAGGAGACGCTAAGTGGTCTTGTTGAACATTTATGTGATAAGAATGTTGAGATTCGCTGGGTTGATGCATATTTTCCCTTCACCCATCCTTCATGGGAAATGGAGATCAAAGTTGAAGATGAGTGGATGGAATTGTTAGGTTGTGGGATATTACAACATGCTATACTGAAAAATGGTGGGTAATACACAGCTATATCACCAGTGGTGGATTTAGGGGGAGCGCACCCCCAGGCTCTAGTCAACAGGGGTGCAGGGGGGGGGGGTGTGTGCAAAAATGACATTTATCCTAATTCTAACCAACTTATGTTAAGGAATTCAGTTGTGTATCACTAGTTGACAATATTAATTAATCCCCAGTTAAAGAAGCAGCTACATGCTATATATGGTTTATCAATAAAAAATTCATTACATTTTCTTACATTTGATTTAAGCTGGTGCAGGAAAAAAGATTGGTTCGGCATTTGGAACAGGTCTGGAGCGTCTCGCTATGAAATTATTTGGCATCCCAGATATCCGTTTATTTTGGAGCAAGGATGAAAGATTCCTGTCCCAGTTTCAAGAAAACAAAATAGTTCAGTTCAAACCATTCAGCAAATATCCACCAACATATAAAGATGTCTCGTTCTGGATTTCTGATAAATACACACCAAATAATTTCTATGAAATTGTGCGATCCACTGCTGGAGATATAGTGGAAAAGGTTGTTAAACTTCAGAGAAATTTCCAAGTTAAATGTTTTGCTTCACACCAGGTATCTTTACTATTGCAAAGCTTTAGCTGATGAAGATCCAAACTTATGGACAGAAAACTTTGCATTAGTAAATAAATACAAAAAGCAAACCATGCTATTCAATTAGTAAACAAACTGTTGTGGTTTTGGTCAGAATAACCTGAAAATGTCAATTCTACCCAGATTGTAGTACCTGTAAATACCACATTTGAAATATCTTTTTAGGTAGTCCATATAGAAACCACTGCAGCTTATTTTGTTGACCTATCCTAACCCGAGGCCCAATTGTTTGAGAAATTTTTAGGGCAGATCTAATTCACTAACTTTACCAAATGTCAACATGGTTATATGGCCCCAAACCTAACCACAAGAGCCTGCTAACTAGTATGCTCTTTTCTTCAGGTTGAGTTGATAGATGAGTTTGTTCACCCAGAGACTGAACAAGTGAGTCATTGTTATCGTATTACATATCGCTCCATGGAGAAAACGTTTCGAGATGAAGAAGTAAATGAAATTCAAGATTTGCTGCGAGAGGAACTTCGTATTAATTTAGATGTTGAGTTGCGCGGTTGAATATTATGATGCTGAATAAATTTGAATACAACCCTACTCATCTGGACTGAAGTAATATAAATTTAACAATAACATTTGTTGAAATCGGGATACAAATACAACATGATTCTTGCAATCATACAATACGATTGTTGCAATCAATACAAATATGATGTATTGATTGTTGCAATCAGTATAAATATAATAAAATTCGGTTCAACACCGAAACATAATTTTAATGTGTCTTTATGTATCCAAATCTGCCCCTCCCCCCCGGGGTATATTTCCTAGAAATTTGGACTCCTTTTTAAGACTGAACAAATGGAAGTATAATTTATGAAAATGAATTATATTCAATGAATATTTCACAAATCCATATGAAATCTCAGTCTAAAGAAAATATTGATGTATAAATGTTGAATTATACAACAGCATATACAATCAACAACCTTGGCGATGAGTGAGGCAGTATTGAAATCCCAGACCGGTTGGGGCCGTTGGGCAGGTAGATCATGGTTACAAAAAAAATTTTGGTCTATTTCTGCAACTTTTGTGATTTTCAATTAAGTGATAAAAATGGCCAAAACGGTAAAGGACTAATTTTGATGTGGCAAAAAATCAAACACGTGGTTGTTATAGCCTTCACTTTTTTGCCACTTTTGACTGCTTTTTTCAAAACTCAAAAAAGATGCTAAAGTTGAGGAGTAAAAGTTTGCCTTTTTTGCCACATTTTCACAAATCAAGAAAGTGGGAAAAAAAATGAACGGGAGTAGCAAGGCATTGCTTTTGTGACATTTTTACACTTTTCCAATAATAAGAAGATACATTTCGTCAAGTTTTGGAAAACGAAAAAATTGCTAAACATTGAACAAACACCTAATGGAAACCTTAAACCCTTCACTTGTTAGTTAGTTTTGGCTAGTTTTTCGAAAATAAAAAAATGGCCAAAAGTGCCGCACTTTTCCCTATACTTTTTTTTCGGGTATCTAGATCGCCGCTCTACCTATTGAGCTATCGAAGGGAGTCTTATCCAATTTAAGTGCACGAAATATTTTCGTGACGACTAACGCTTATCTTAGAGGACGCGCAGTGTTTCAATTCTATTTCAGATTAATATGAAACTAGTTTTTCGTATCTCTGAGGATGGTTCTCAAATAGTATTGAAACACTGCGCGCCCTCTAAGACAAGCGTTAAGTCGTCACGAAAATATTTCGTGCACTTAAATTGGATAAGACTCGCTACCAATCCCTGTTGACTCGATTTCCCTATACTTTCAAGAATAAAAATACTTTTTGTCGCTTTTTACGGAAAAAGAAAAATAAGATTTTGTGTGCAATATAATTATCATATCAATATTATAATAGAGAATTTTTTTTTGAAGTTTGGTGAAGACACTCGAGTGGATATCAATTGCCATGATGGACAAAACACATTCTTCTCCACTTGGCGGTTTTGTCCTAAATTGAAGACATATCAACGGAAGTGTTCTGAATAAGCAAATACGACAAATACTATATAGTGCCGCTCATTCAGGGCATATTCAACAATTTTTAAAACTAATGATGAAATTCATCATCACAATACTAGAAGTCTCAAAAAACTATATTAAAACCTATACACCCGAAATAATTACACGAGACATACTCTCTCCAATAAAGGAGTTGAAATTTGGAATAATTTGAACGAAGATTCGAAACCCCGCATTAAATTTCCCCCCCCCCCAAAAAGCTAAAATTTATTTTCAAATACAAGAACAATAATAAAGCATATATATTCTTCATAGACTTGAACAATGCTTCCGTCATCATGCACTCCTAACTTCGTATTGTTGTATATTATTGTATAGACTATAGGGGTGCAGCGGATAGTGCTATCATAGTATCATACTATTACCGGCTGGATACCAGATAATTTGTTTTTCATGAAGTGTACTAAATTTCCGTTGATTGAACTAAAACATACTAAAAAGTTAGAAACCCAAAAAAAAGAGACAAGTGAAAAAGCTGGCACTGAATCCCATCGCTCAAAAACTTTAAAGTTAAAAACAGATTTGATTATTGACTCAAAAATTCAAAAAATAGCGTCACCTTCTGCACGAATACATGGATGAGAAAAATCCTTATAATGTATTCAAATTGGTAAAATATCCGGTATATAGTAAAAATCACTATCCGATCCACCCATATTATCGTGAAATTATATCACAACTTTCTTTAAAATTTTCTGTACAATATATTAGCTGACATATAGTTAGTAAGTTATCGTTTGAATTATTTGCTGTAAAAGGGGCCTTGCCCTTGTACTATAAAAAGTTTCTTAAATTAAAGGCTCCAGCTCTAGTATTCGATGTATTGAGATCAGATTGAGATCTTTAGAGTTTCCACTTCGTGAAATTTTCCGAAAATTTTCCCCCAAAACTTGCGGAGACCCCCAAAAATAAAAAATATTCTGCTGAAATTTATGTTTCGAATGAGATGCTAATTTTGTTTTATCCTTGGTTTTATTTATACGTCAAAAATTTGGTTTCGATTGTTCGAATCAAGACTAAACTGATAAGACGGTGAATCGGCAGGCCCTGGGTACGAGGATCAACCACTGGCATCAACAACATACTTTGAATATTGATGTTTGTAAAAGAAACTACAGTATGTGAAATATACAAGCTCACAATGAAAATATGTTTCGTTTCCCCAGTATTTCTACTGTCATATGTTGGTATTGTATGGGTTGGTAAGTTTAGTTTGGCTTGTAATGTGGTTAAAAATCCTTATATATGTCGTGGACACTCAAGTTATTATGATTACCATTAAATGATTAATACATGACTACATGTGCCCTACTCTATCATTTTTACTCCGTCTAGTGCCAGGCAATTTTACTCATCAAGGGGAGAGCAATGTGTTCAATGGGTTAATATTAGGTCATATTACTAACTTGCAACTTTATATGAGATGAACTGTCCAAGAAAATTGCCGATTTTTGAGTAGGAATTGCCTGACGTTTTTACTGTTATGAGGCAGATTAGACTAGTCATATTAAACTGCATCAAATTGTTGAATTGTCTATCTTCCATTTAGGAGTTAACTGTGCTCAACTGTCTTGTCATTCATGTAAGACCTTACTGCAGACCAACCAAACACCAGCAAAGTGCAATCGGACAGTGGAGAATTGTGATATTCAGAATTCTTTCTGTGGTATATTACTTTGGTATAAAGAAAATGCTGGAGTGATATACCAGGAAAGCTGCGTGCCCCATGATGTTTGTCGCAATGTTACAGCTGGATGTCCAAAAAAGAGTTGCTACTTATATTGCTGTTCCAAAGATCAGTGTAATATGTATGATCAAGTGAATCAAAGTATTGACAATAGTCTTGCAAGCATTATGAAAGAACATCCCAATATGGTTCCAACTGAACCAGCATCAACCAAGACTGTAATTAATGAGTCAACCACACTTCCAACAAATGACATACTTTCAACATTGGACACACGTCCACCTTGTTTGGCTTTGGCTTCGTTGTTAAAGTGCTCAAGGCTGACAATGGTGCTGCTTCTTACTGTGATATTTTTAAAAGATTATATTGAAATATAAACCATATACTGGCATATATCATGTTCAAAGACAAAGGAAAAACATAAACTATAAACTCTAGCTGGAAAAACTTCATAGAATATTTAAACAAACAAAATTATTTAAAGGGAGTGTTGACAAATACACATTATCAACATGCAAAGCAACTGAAAAACTATTTGTCATTATTCCATTACTCATATATAACTGTATATTTTAAGTAATTGTTAATTAAGTGCCAACATGCCCTAATAAGCCAATGCTTTCTAATTTTACTTTCTGTAATGCCATACCATTTTACTCATCAAGGGGATAGGCACTCAAATGGGTTAATGCATTGAGCACGAGCTCCTGGACAAGTAAAATTGACTGACGTTAGACTGAGTCAAATAATAAAGTAAAGTGTGTTCAGACACGTGGGCAGATTAACACATACAATGGCAGCACTTCCCTCTTGATGACTTAGATAATATGGCATTAGACATCCGAGTCAAATAATAAAGTAGGGTGCATTCGGGCACAATTGCAATGGTTATAAATAATGATAAACTATAGTTTTTAACTCATTGTCAAAACAATGTCTGTGACTGGGTCTTCCTGAGGGTATCTATAGACAAACCAGTACATATTAGGGCATTGGTGTATCCTTACAGTGGGGCATAATTTTTACGCAATAATGAAATGGCAGTTATTAAAGTAAAGTAACTAAAATAAAGAACAACAATTCAAAACAAAGAAAAGAACGAGCTTGACAAAGGCAGAAACGCCCCTTAAAGCTTCCACTTGAGGAAATGTGCTTGATATTTTCCATTTTTCCCAGTTGAATTTAGCTGTTGCTATCAACAATGGCGGCCAAACTAAGCAATATTTCTGGCCTTGGAGACAACGACGATGGCGCTCTAACAGCAGAGCAACAATCCAAATTAAATGATTTTAAGGTAGTTTTATACGAGAGTTTTCAGTGTTATACGAGAGTTTTCATTTTTCGTTAATCAAGCATAGAAGGTTTTTCAATTTTTGCAAATGTTTACTGTATTATAAACAGTCAATACAAATGTTTATATATTTTTTTTTAAATAGATAGAAACACGGCTTGCCAATGAGAAATATTTACGAAACCATACAGAAATATCACATGTTCTACAAATGTTTACAAAGTAAGTATAATTTTTGCTGGGTTAGAGGCTGTTGATGTGGAAGCCCGGCTGGCCTGGTCACTGGTCAGCAAGACAGCCTGGTTGATATTTCACTAAATTATTTGGCTTATCCAGGTTACCCTATAACTTCCTTGACTGTATAAATGCATATGAGGTTTAAAATCATTTGGCATTAGACAGAATAATAGGCATCGTTAGTATTGTCACTATTGTATGACTCTGTCAGGTAGGCTTGAACGACAACTTATATATTACCCAATGTAAGTAACATATAAGCATTATAGGTAATCATTCACTGAAAAGCCTGAATAATACCGTAATGTAACCGTAATTGAGCACAGACCTTTTGTTGATACCAGTCGATACTTAGTACTTATTATTATTGACAAGTAAATTTGTCTGCTGTTAGACATCGTAAAATTGTCTGGCATTAGAGTAAAATAATAAAGCAGAGTGCATCAGCAGTTCAGAGTGCAATGCAACATATTAAGTTATTAAACTTTACCAACTTTGCCTTCCAGTAATGCAATTTAGTCCCCATCAATTCTTTTGTTTGTTTCTTTGAGTCAATTCCATTCATTCACTTTTTCATTCTCACTTTCTCCACCCCAAAAGTTTCTGATTGTGTGCAATACTTTTTCCATTTCTAGGGAGGTGTTGACAAAACGACCTGAAAACATACGAGAATTTGCTGCAGGTGAGTTCAAAAGTAGTTTGAAATGTTCATATTAGGATGTGGAGTATACAAAGCAAACAAATCTCTGGGTGGGTGGGTTGCCTCATTGAGTTACAGTAATTGTTGAAGAATTTTGTTGATGGGAATTTTGAGTATAAAATTGACACTCATCCATCTACAAAACTCTTCAACAATTAGTTCTATTGCGTGAGATACCCAAGATCCTGATTTAACAATACACTTTACACGGCCATCATCTTAGTATGAACTTGCTTGCAGTGTGTTAGAGCTTGACAACTGTCTCTCTGTAGCTCAGTTGGTTAGAGCTTGACAACTGTCTCTCTGTAGCTCAGACTTGGTTAGAGCTTGACAACTGTCTCTCTGTAGCTCAGTTGGTTAGATATTGACAACTGTCTCTCTGTAGCTCAGTTGGTTAGAGCTTGACAACTGTCTCTCTGTAGCTCAGTTGGTTAGAGCTCGATAACTGTCTCTCTGTAGCTCAGTTGGTTAGATATTGACAACTGTCTCTCTGTAGCTCAGTTGGTTAGAGCTTGACAACTGTCTCTCTGTAGCTCAGTTGGTTAGATATTGACAACTGTCTCTCTGTAGCTCAGTTGGTTAGAGCTTGACAACTGTCTCTCTGTAGCTCAGTTGGTTAGATATTGACAACTGTCTCTCTGTAGCTCAGTTGGTTAGAGCTTGACAACTGTCTCTCTGTAGCTCAGACTTGGTTAGAGCTTGACAACTGTCTCTCTGTAGCTCAGTTGGTTAGATATTGACAACTGTCTCTCTGTAGCTCAGTTGGTTAGTGCTTGACAATTGTCTCTCTGTAGCTCAGTTGGTTAGAGCTCGGATAACTGTCTCTCTGTAGCTCAATTGGTTAGAGCTTGATAACTGTCTCTCTGTAGCTCAATTGGTTAGAGCTTGACAACTGTCTCTCTGTAGCTCAGTTGGTTAGAGCTTGGGTTGCAGGTTCGACTACAAATTTACAATTAGTTCTATTGAGTGAAATGCCCCAAATCCTTGAGTTTCAGACAGCCTGTCTTGTGAAGAGAACTGATTTATTTTTCAGGATATTTTTCTGACAAAGACCTGAAGGACAGAGTTCAGGAGGAAAATTTAGAAAGTTATGTGAGAAAGTTTGACCATCCAGCATCAGATGTGCCACTCACTCAATAAACATAACATTTCTCAATGTACTACGATGAACTATGATTTCTCATATGAATATACACACTGTATGTTAATTTTACTGTATGAAATTGTAAATATTATTTAAAGTTTTGTAAGTAAATAAATAAAAAACAAACATTTAGACGGTCGTTCTATGCTGACAACATTATTGAGTGCCAGCACTCTCCACTTGACAAGTAAAATAATTTGGCATTAGACAGAGTAAAATAATAGTAGGGTGCACTATTACTGAAAGGGTTAACAGGATGTATGGTCTGGTTAACCCATTGAGTGGCAGCACTCTCCACTTGATGAGTAAAATCGTATGGTGTTCAGTGCCGTAGCCAGAATGATAATTGGGGGGGGGGGAGACCATATTCATATATTCGTGTTCACATACCATAAAAACAATTGATTTCAAAAGAAATTAATAAAGCAGAACACAAATATATGAATATGTGCCCCCCCCCCAATTATCGTTCTGGCTACGGCACTGCTGGTGTTAGACAAAGTAAAATTTTAAAGTAGAGTGCATTGCTACTTTTAAACAAGCTGATGAGGAATAATTTTCAGACGTACAGGGAGTGAAACTCCAAATATTAGGCTCAAGGTCAAAGTGTCACTCGTGTTTAATCAGGGTGGATTAATCGGGGGGAAACAATCTTTCCTTGCCTCTGCTCTTGTAAATCCACCCTTTTGGCCAATAGTCCGTTTGGACCTCTCTGCCTGTCTAGGCATGCTTTCGTTTCCCCCTGCCACCTGCTCAACCTTTGGTTGGCCATATTTCTCTCCAGCACTGTATACAGAACAGATACATTTTGCATTTTTTTCAAACATCGAAGGACATATTTTTGTTTGTAAATGAACATATTTTTTCAAATATCAAGGGTGGTCTGTGATAGAAAAGATGTGTTCAGGAAAAGGTTTTTTTTTAGTTGAATAATGTCCGTTGTTGAAGGAGTGAAGCCGCATTATACCGGCGTCGTGTTGTATTAAACTGCAATCTGTGTGTTCCGTCGTGTTGAAAACTGTTTTATTTATAATCTTTCATCATTCATGTCACTGACGGTTCTTTAGAAATATTAGAAATATTCGACCCATAAATGAAACAATTAACATGTCACAATTAATCCTCTTGGACCTTGCATGTAAAATATAATCAAATATTCTCTATTTAATACAACATATTTCCAGCTGGGGTTGAAAAGATTAATAAGTTGGCCGGGGTTTTTTTGGTACGTGCTGACCAGTCAGCGGGAAAAAAAGGCAGGTAAAAAACCAAGGGTTAGCATTAGAAGCAAGCTGTTAACATAATGTAAGCTTCTGTAATTTGGCAAGAAATGCCTTCAGGTTATTCTCTCACCATAATACTTACTGGCGGTATATTTAGCATAAATTGCGCGCTAAAATCACTGGGCGGGTCGTGACGTCAGCGGTCATCTGGTGACAATAAAGCGATATACCGCTAAAATTTGTTTAATTTGGCACAATTGACACTGGTTTATTTAAACATCTAGTCACGAAATGTTGTACACAATAAAATAAATAAAATATTTAAAAAAGCAAACAAATAATCTTGTTTTTAGGCCGCTAAATTCTCCTAGCCTCATCGACCACATGTTCAATTGCTGTTTTGTCGATTTTGCCGAGTTCAATATTGTCAAAACTGATGTACTCTGTTGCTTTATGTACTCTCTAAAGATTCAAAGCTTGTAATTTTGGTCACGATTCTGCGCATTGCTCACTAATGAAGCCACATGTCTTTGCCAGTTCGCACGGTAATAAACAAAAAAGAAATGAGGTGATGAGCTTGGCTGAATGTGTTACGCTCATATTATCACTTCAAACGCTGAAAACGTTTGGACAAACATCAAAGATTGTCCTTAGCAAAAATAACAGGAACAAGTCGAACAACAAACTGAAAAGTTGATTAATTGGCTGACTAACCAGTTTTCGTTTTTTTTTTCAACTTCGGCTTCAATATGTTTTAAAAATGTACTTTTCATTAGTTTTCCATCGCAATTTCAAATAGATCAAACTCAAATCCTAAATTGTGAAATGATACAATCATGAAATGAAAACGTGCTTTGATGATGAGGAAATTATTTATTTATTTATTGATTTACTATATTGTCGTTAAAGTGGTGTAATGTTTATGAGCTTTTAAAAAACTGTGTGAGGTATTTGAATATATTGTCATCTTGCCAAAATGTCTGTTCAAGTCTTGTGCGGTTGATGGGCGCACTCTCTTTGTTTAATACAACGATGTGCAGCAAACTCTGAGCACGCGGTGAGAACATGACCCATGCAGCTTGCTAGTGGTGGTCACAAAACTTCTGATAACCTGCACAAGGTCAGCTCGTGATGGATTTTTAATCAAATTACTGTCAGTCAAACAATGCAAACTATAAGTTATGGTTTACATATTAGCACACGCAAATTATGCAAATTACGAGGGGTATACAAACATGTCAATTGCATATCAGTCGAACAACGGGAAAATTCTTTAGACTTGATAGCATTATGAAAATTACCATTTAGTTACCGGAAAATCAATGTTTTTAAAGGAAATTCTTCAAAGCACACATTTGCAGAAGGTATTTTAAGTTAATGTGGGTTGTTTTCATCTCTTAAAATACGTTCTCCAAATAGTTCCCCAGAATGCAGGAATTTTCTAATCCCGTGACCTGGACGAAAAATTGCGCAACCTTTCCTCCCTGGTTAAAAAAACGTCGGCAATTTTTAGAACAATATGGCCCCGCCTTTCGTTCAAGGGAAGCGAACCTTAAACTATAAACTGAATTCATTTTCGCATGATGTGAAGAATGATCAACCTTTGTATCAACGATTCGGCTTCGGTTGTTAACACAAGCTCCAGCGGGGTTGATAATTCCTTTTAGTACTTTTGCACAAGTGAATATAACAAATCCTACAAGTTGATTGTCAAATTTGACGTATTAAGCTGTTATATATTCACCTACAGGTAAATATAACAAAATCGAAATTTGCAAAATGGCGGCTAGCCATTCTGTGGAAGTTACTGATAAAGAAATACCCAAAAATATCGTAGAATATTTACCTCGTCTCGGTGAATATTCCCCGATAACCACCTCATCTTCGGCGAATAATTGTTAAATATCATAGTCAATCTCATTCAATAATTGTTAAATATTCATAGTATTAATAGTTTCAAATATGTAATTTCTATTTTGGTAGCACAATACATCAGGAAAAACAAACACTTTAGTCGATAAATGTGTTTTTTCCTGATCACTGGCAATCATGGCGTAAGTTTTACGGATGCAGAAATATCGTAATTGGGAGAGACAGGAAATGATTCAGTATAAACACAGTTCTATATCTGGCCATTACCTGCTCATCGAAAATTACTATTCTCGCACAAGAAAATAAGTTTGTGGACTAATAACCTTCAAACAAAGAACTGAGAAGTCGAGAGCAAATGATCGATATGACTTAAAATACAAACTAAATCCAAGAACAAGCTCATCAGGCCGATGATCTCTGCGAAGATTCTGGAAATGATTCATTCTTAAATAACGTTCTTGGGTTCTTATCAAATTATGGGATTAAGAATTTTTATGCTAGCTTCATTTTATTAAATTAGAATGAGTCCCGGAAAAACAAGTTTCTCACGAGGATTTCAACACGCGAGATTGATCCATGCTCGTTTGGTACCCAGGGCAGATTGATAAAAACATGTAAAGCATGAATGAAGTGGTATGTCGGGAATGCCGCCAGACATGCGCAGTTCCTACCGGAAACCTCTCAGTCTGAACATGTTTAGGGTTTACGTGGGTAGAAGATGGTGGCTTCAGGACTGTTGGGGTTTATAGGGGAAATGTTGAACTGCTTGGGTGGCTTGTCAGTCCCAGCTGCGCGGAACCAGTTATCTATATTATTATGGGAGATCAATATACAGCCAATTCAAAAAAAGTTTTCCTTTGCAAACCTTTAAACTCTAGGCCTTAAACCTTAAACTCTAAGCGCGCAAAGCTTAATGGGAGCACAAGTTTCAAGCTTAGTAGTTGAATATTGCAGCTTTTTGTGAATGAATTGTTCTGGTAAGGAGATATTTACCATGTCTCCAAGAAATGGGCCTCATATATGATTTCTAAACTGATTAAATGATGCTCCATTATGCTTGGCATCCTTAGAGTTTAGCAAAGTTTGCAAAGGACAACCTTTTTTGAATTAGCTATACATGAAATGCGGCAATACCGTAAGGAGAATATCCTGATTTTCAAGATGATTCATCAATATGAAATTTACGCAGTCATCACCGCAGAACAAACGCACCAGGGGCTCCAAACCCCAACCTAAATGTGGTTTATGACCCAGCCTAACTCTACAATTTTCTCACGAGAAATTGTAAACATTTTCATAGCAGGTTAGCAAGTTATTGTTATTCTGCCGCGTGTTAGTGTACGTTGTTTAAATAAAAAATAAGAGATAATTGTTGAGATGGCCTTCAATTTTATTTCAAGGGCATTGCGCAATTCTATAAATGATTTATGTGATGTTCAATACCAAATTGTGTGTGTCTTATCAGAGCCGTATAGCTACCGAAGAAAAAGGTTTTAGATTGCAGTTCTGTCATGCACGCCGCACTAAAACATTGCGTACTTATAGCGATGCTATCCGACAGCTACAACACATTTTAGAGTTTTTAAGTATCCTTTGTAATAATTTTGACACAAATAAAGAGCGCTCAGAAGAAAATCCGGATTTAGGATAATACAAAACACAAACTGTTTTTCTTTGTCGGGGTTTAAAGTACATTTATCCTTGAAACTTTATCTCTTGCAAGCTATTTGTGTTTCAATTGAGATGTGACGTTAGAACACAGCGTGTTATAACAAGCTAGACTATATACCACAGGAGATAAATCTTTCTTTTGGTCCTTACGACCTACTGAACAATAGAAAGAAAAATAAACTAATACTATAATCCGTTGTTTAGTTCGCCTATAGAGGGATGATATCCACTGTTTCAATAGCCCATCAATTGTGTTTGATATACCTGCATTTAGCAATCAAAACACACACATTGCCTGAAACTGCCAAATGTAGATATGAAGTGAAATGAGATTATAAATAAACTCAAGTATAGAGCACTCAAGTGGTTCAATCTTTATTATCATAACCTATTACTTTGACCTTCCACGGTTTATAATCGCTTTTCATTCATTAATCATCTCGTGCAGGATTTTCACGGTACACGAAACTGGCGCGTAATTAAACGATTAAAAATAAGTTTCTGGAAAAATCTCACAAAAATTGAAAAATCTTTAAATACGATTAAAATGCGGCAAAAAATGCTTGCGATTACTCAAATAACCAATTTGCGCAAAACTAATCTTACGTCTATAAACTAATCTAATGTGTATAAAACGATGCGCAAATTATTTTAATATTGATATGCAGCTCCGTTTTTCCTGGGCAGGGCGACATGTCAAATTTAAACGCTAAATGAGCTTGTTTTTATTCCGCTGCAATGGCGACGCTATTAATGCAAATGTTTTAAACGAGACCTGAATTTAAATACATTTTCCGGTCAGTCTGTGCACAGCCAGATGTCTTATTTTATAAGATCAACATCAACTTGAAATTAACACAACGTGAACCATTTTTGCATTGCAAGACTATTTTCATGTGGTCAGCGCTCGTGGCCCCTCATTTATATAGCAAAGGTCAAGAAATTTCTAATCATGTATATTGTGGTAGAACAATAAAAGCAAGTTTTTGCCGCTTTTGGTGGCTGCCTAGATCTTGAAATAATTCATTTAAATATAGGTCAAGATATAAACAAAATATCAAGCTATTTTTAATAGATCAGCTCTCCACAAAGTTTCATGTTTATAAGCTAGTACTGTGGTTAACATACAACTTCATTAGCATACAGTGCGATCATTATACATGATTCTTTGCGCGCACATTTCACCATATATGGAAACGAGATTATGTTAACAACGTTAACTATACAAAATATCCAAACAGATTGTTTTCTTAAAATGTTTGAATGTGTGTACTTGACATTAATTTGCATTTCTTCCGCGTTAATTGATTTTAAACAATTTTATTTGGACATCTTGTATTTGCGTGATATTACTGGCGGTGAGATGTACTCAACAGCCGCATGTGGAAGAGACAAAACATTTTGTGAGTGCCTAATCCTCTGTTAAAACTTCCTTGTTAAAAGCGTGTAATATCTGTCATACTTATCTAAAGTAATTATGGCGCTATACCGTATGGATAGTATTATGTATGGTATTATCTGTGTTGTATAAAAGTCTCAAGAGAACTGCATGCATCAGTGTTTAAAATAGTTTCTCCTAACTCTTATCTTAATAGACAGTTTTATCCGCGCTAATTCCTAATATCATTACAGACTTTCCGCAAGCGAGGGGCGTTCCTCGTCGTATTGTGTGTTATCAAACCCCCTGAGGTCAGAGTATCTCACTGAACGGGCCAATTAATTTCATTTATCAAGATTTAATTGTACAATTGATGTGATCACGACTTAATACGCAGCATTCAAAAGTGCTCAATGTGGGTGGTTGTTCACTCGCTCGCGCATTGTCACAAGTGAAGCACAGCTCACCAGAACTACCCAGGGTGCGAGTTGTTTTGAGAAAAATCAAGATATCAAAACAAAGATGTCGGGTATTGTGAAGCGAAAGTTGGCAAAATCAACAAACGACAAACCTCCTCATTCATATATAGCCCTCATCGCTACAGCTATACTCAAGTCGCCAGAAAAACGACTAACTTTGTCAGAAATCAACGATTACCTCGTTCAACACTACAGCTTCTTTCAAGGCCCTTACAAAGGCTGGAGAAATTCAGTGAGACACAATCTCTCCTATAATAAATGTTTTACAAAGATTCTCAAAGATCCAAGCCGGCCATGGGGGAAAGATAATTACTGGACTATCAGTTCATTGAATGATTATTTACAAGAAGATGGCAGTTTCAGACGTCGCCGAAGACGCAGACCTAAAGCGAAGTGCGTCAGTATCAAAGAAGAAGATTTCGTTTCTGAAGACGACGCGAGTGACGTGGACACCAAACAGAACTATGAGTTAAGACCCAACACTAAACATGATAGTTTAGGACATGAACTAAACTCAAGTAAAGAAAGTCCATCACAACCTCAAAGCTCACCAACAACATTCAACAGTTCATTTTCAATCTCAAGTATTCTTGAAGAGAAACAACCACGACGAGAACCTCTCCACGGGATTTACTCGCATGGTAAGCTCAACTATATTTAATATTTCCTTATTGAATATATCTTCCTTGTACGTCCTATCTGTCTTATGTTTACAGTAACTATATATATATATATATATATCTCGCAGTGGCAGATTATAAGATTGCGCAGCTATAGTGTGAAATAGTATATCTCAATTCTCAAGTTATTACGTTCTGACTCGATGCTACATCGATGCGGATATATTTGAAGCGCATTGAATGAATGCCTTGCTCCAAACAGCTTTGACAGTATTGGATAGCAGACATACGTTTGAATACGGTAATACGGCGTTATAGTATTAATATAGGTTTGGTTCATACCGATTACTGTTAATTTAATCGTGTTTGATAAGCTCATACGTAAATTATGTTTACTTAAAACTAATCAAAGTCTTATCTTGCGATTTATTTCACGTTTGTGTTTGCAAGATAGCTTTTAAATTGTTTACAAAGTTCCGAGGTGTGACTGCGTGTGTATAAACATTGATAAACACAGTTTGTTTCAAGAGAAAACTCGCACCTGTGTTTTGATCTAAACATTCACGCTGCCTCGCGCCGTCGAGAACACTTGATAAAGAACGCAATTACTCATCTACTTTACAGTTATCGCGATTTATGCAAAATAACCCACCCACGCGCGCGAATGTGGTGAGACCACAAGCGCAGATGACGCTGCATATGCTAACAAAGCGCGCGGAAGCTGTTCCCAAAACCACGAATTTACTGAATGAAAAATGTCACGTCTACTCTAAGAATAGATTAAAGTTTAAGTTGTAAAGTTGCGCAAATAACATTCAACAAATTATTTTGATATGTGCGCACCTATCATCGCGTCTCAGTGAGATCAAATATGCTTGTCAGTTCGACATCTGCACAATATATCATTGAACTACAAGTTCACCTTATATATCTCAACAACAAATCTTGTTTGCCTGAACGTGATCAGTCTAGTTCTCACTAAATCAGATCACTATACTTCATATCAAGCTTGCGCCACCACTCATCTTGCACACTGCACTTTCGCGTGAGTTAATAAATGCAGCAATCAATTTGAATTGGAGCCTTTTCCGTTCTCGGTAGCCTTTCGCTTCATTTGCATTTTGTGCGCAAAATATGTAATTTACTGTCTTGGCTTTTCAACATGCGTTGCCTAGATTGCGCCGCAGACTGACTTTTGAAACGCAAGAAAGTTTGCGCCATCGAGCTGTTCTCCGTTTTGTCTTGAATTCAGGAAGTGCTTGTTGAAATAAAAATTAAATTGTATTTCATAGATACATGATAGGAAAACATATATATGTGTTGCATATCCTCATAGATAATGTATGTTGTGAAAGGCTTGTTTGATAATTTCAAAATAAACACCTGTGCCTTGGTGATTTGTGAGGCAATAAATCATTCAGAATCAAACATTCTAATCTATAAGACTATAACTACGCCGTCCTCTATGGCCTTCGGCTGTCACCTAAGTAAATTGAGAAGTTCATTTTGAAGCTATTTAAGCTTAAAGAATAAAACGCTGAAACCAGAGCCACGATTCAAAAGCGGTACAAAAGACGCAGTCAGTTTGTCTGTGTTTTTCCGATCAAAATATCAGTACAAAAGAACAGGCGGCAAATGTGTAATGGGATTAAGAAGAAATATTTCAGAAAGTGCTAACATGATTAGATTAGATATACTTCGTTACCAGTTCGAACAAGTTTTAATGCAGAATTAGCATCTCCGTCGCAAATTCAGCTCTTTAAAAGAGAACAAGAGAACTACAGCTCGCAAACTTACACTTGCCTTTCAAACTAATTTCTTACGCATGAAACATACTTTTGGACAGGCAAGAGTTGCAGCTGAGGTCGCTATCACTTAATACAAGCGAACAATATAATGCGTGATATGTTGTATTGAGATGTTAATCAAATATTTGCCTTGCCAAACTGGTGTTTATTTAAAAGTGGCAATTATCAACTACGTGTTAAATCTGGTCATGTTTTGTTGTTACCTTCATTTCCGTTTCAAGACAAGGCGTTTCATAGCTTGGCCGCGGCTGTATCTAGTCTCAGTGACTTGCAAGCGTACACAGTGCTACTCCCCGTTAAACATTGGCAAACTTGCAATGATTAGAGGGTATTATTGCTGAAATTTTGATACGCAGGATTTTCTTTACTCAGACTAACAGTTTGGCATGTTTAATATAAATCCTAACAAGTTTTCCGCTCTGATAATGCCTTCCTTCCGAAATGAAATATTTGTTAGATTTAATGGACATTCATTGAAACACATGGTACGGCCTTTGTAGACAAGTGTTTTTCCTTTCCTAAAATGTCACCCTGGCCATGCGCAATCAAATTAAATGTGGTTCGTTGGAGCCATTCATATTGTACATGTATGTTGAGTGTTAGTGGACATCTGTTTCTGTGCTAATGAGCCTGAAAATGTGCCAAATTGATGCGTTTTCTTCGAAATTGAGATCCAAAGCATGCTGTTCGGATGATGCAAATATCGCTTGAATATTCTTAGCCAGGGAATCGACGGAGTAAGACAGATTTCCCTTTAAGCCCAAAGTCAACCCAATGCTCAAGGGCGAATATAAGAAATGAGCATGTCCCTACATGATTTTAGGACCGATACAGGAAGAGGAAAATCTCATTATGAAGAAAATTATAATTATATGCTTTGCAAACCGTGTGCACTTACTTTGAGGACTTATTGTGTTAGTGTCATAAAGTAAATCACAGCTCGTATTGCAGTGATACTGGCAAGCTAGATACCGCGTCAGTGTGTGAGGTGAATTATCATTGTGAGTTATCAGGCAAACACGTCAATAGCTTGATGTTGATGAGTGAATTTTATCAACTTAGGCCAGCTGTTTGTGTTTGACTCCGAAATGAGATCTTGCAAAGGTCAGATCAAACCATTAAGTCCCAAGTATTGGACATATTCTGAGGGGTCAGATAAAATAAATCAGACGTACTAACACAATCTATTTTATCGTAAGCAATTTGTACAAAACTTGTAGTGTACGCTACACTGAGTAATTATGTTACTATAGGCTCTGGTGCATACAATGTTATACAGCCGACATATGTGGTCATTTTGTAATCCTGTCTCCCGCCTAGCTAGCACGCAGCTCTGTAATCTACAGAGCAGATTATTTCTGATAGGATAACTTTCACTTGAGAGATAAGCGCATTAACCCAAGTATACTCAGAATATTGAGCAGTGTGAATTCCTGAACGGAAGATAAATACTTTGGGTAATTTTAGAGACTGTAATTACTGCCAATAAAAACTAAGTTTTATATGACGCAAATTTGTTCAAAATATCTTATGTTTAATCTTAGAAATGCCAATAAAATAAGTTATGCGCGCAAGATGCATGGTTCAAAAGTAAATCTTTGAATGGAAACTTTCTGAATAATTATGCGCGCATACGAAACAATCGCTTGACATCGAGACGGAACATATTGTAAATAATTAGTTTCCATTGCTATTTATATTAATGTGAATATCAATTAATTGTGTACATTTGTTTTTATGTATTTTGTTAAAATATGGTAGTTCGGTTCAGATATGCGCAGTATTAATGGTGAATAATTTAATTTTGAATACTCCTGTTGAAAATGTTTAAATGTGTAAGATATGATGCTCGCATGTGGTACTAAATATTAATAATTTGTTAATGATAGGACATTAAATGTCGCACATCTGTTCAAGTGATCATGGCGTATAGTCCACTCTGTGTTTAAATTAATCAAGCGTGTGTTCTGTTTGTCTTTCTCTCTAGGACCTGTCTGTCGTAACATTGACCTCAGACCACCTGCTATGTACCTAAATCACCCCCAGCATCAACAATCAAACGGGGTACTTCATGTAACTACAGCATCATGTCCCGCGATGTTCAACGCTTATTACGGACAACGAAACATGCACTCGTGGTTACTTACCCTCGGAGCTCACTCGGCAAATGTCGGCACTCTTCGCTGAATATTTATGCAATACTTTGTTCTTGTGGGAAAAACCATTACTCTCTAAATAAATAAAAAAATAGTTTTAACATACCATACGGACAGGCAGTTGTTTTCACGAAGGGCTGGGCAGTTATCACTCTGAGAAAATAATACACCCTCACGGAACGTGCTTTGGCTAGAGAGCCTCGTTTTCATGTATCTGACAAAACCCAACGTCTCAATGACGCGGCTCTATAGCCTCTAAGGTTTCCGCAAGCGTGTTTTCATTCTATTTAGTAACTTGGTAGGCAATGAACAGAATTAGATAAAATGTGTTGTTTCTTCTAATGACGTGCTAGCGTTTCGTGAAATCCAGGCCGCCGGGGTATGATAATATATTTGTGACGAAAAAAGCCAAGAGATTGGTTTTCTAGAGTTGAATTAGAGAGTTTAATAATCAATGTAAATAATCTTTTAAGCTTCTTACAAAGTGTGAAATGCAACACTAAGATGACATTGCTACTGCACGCAATGAACAACACGTAGAAAACATTTCTTCGTTTGTATAATATTCAATATGTACTGAGTATGTTATATAAATATATATATATAGAGAGAGAGTTATGTAAAAATCTCTTGTTTTTTCAACAGCAGCTAATTCATGCTTCAATACAAAATTTCAAAATTGAAGATTTATTGAACACTCCCCAAAGTGGCCTTTCAGTGGCCAAATTCGGTCTTGGCGGTCTGCCGTCAATCTCTCTTTTTACGTTTAAAACATCAAAGCTAACAACTGTTTTGTACTTGAAACATTGTTTGCGTGAGGATGAATCACAGTTCAAGAGCCCATCCCACTCAAGCATGATAACAAAGTGGAACAATCCGATCATCTCAAAATAAACAAACACAATGTCGCTTGTTTTGTCTAAAAAAGATTTCTGAATTATCTTCTCAGACTATATTTAATTCGAGATTTAATTTCAATTAATTAAGCAATTAAACGATCATTTTGAAGTTTCACTGTCCGGCTTAGTCTTAGAATTTATCTTCATACATCCAGTTAATTCAAGTCAGTGCTTGTTGGAATATTTGAAATTGCGAGTTCATCAATGTCAAACTTTGTTGTCAAGGCAAAAAATGCGACTGTTAGAGTGTTGGCATTAAATTGAACAAAGAGTGGCTAAAATTAGTTCCATTGTTTGATTGTTTTCATGAGTTGATTTCAGCAGCAATTGTTGGGTTGTCTTGAAAAAATGTCGGATATAATTATTTCAGGAAGCGTGTGGCGTTCAAAGATAAGATGTATTGTTCATAGACAGGAAAAGAAACTGTCATTTTAATGTTATAAGTTTTTCTCACAACATTTTTGCATTGTGCTTTGTCCCGTGCAACGTTATCATGACAAGATATAGCCGCGGGTAAAATGTCAATATGGTGAAGGCAAACGTCCAGTTTCCAAGTGCCTACGAGGATAAAATAACATTGAACAAATGCATTGAAATAACAAGTGTCTTTTGCTTTGCATGCCTTTGGTACAGCACTGTCTAGACCATTTCCAGAAAAAAACTGAACGTCTCATGATAACACATGTACGCTCGATTGAGGCTCCATTTCATTATTTCAATATTTCATCCTTTTGAATTTTATGCACACAAATTTAAAAGTTTCTGTTTGTTTTAAAAGAATGAAGTGAATGTAGGACTCTTGTTTGTTCATCCTCCCACAGGATGTTGTAATGCTCGCCATGAGTATGGTAGAAAACTAACAGCTAGTTAACCAATATATACATTCTATTACTGATTATACACTGCGTGCATGCCAAGTTCGAGAGGAAACCAACGTCACCTGAGACTGGGGACAAGGTCACCTTTTGTGTTCAAACACTTCTGTAGCATTTCACTCAACAAGCAACACATTAACACATTAAGACTGAATTAATGTTTATGTTGAAATTTGTCGCAGGGAAGGAAATGAACAGTTTCTTGCAACACGGTCATAAACAGAATTACTACTACATTTTATCCTTGCATGTTTCAAAACAATGAAGTCAAGCTGTGTGTACAGTATATAAGAATATCTCCAGTTTGTTCACTCGTCAAAAAAGGGCAAAATTGCCGCAAACTGTTAGAGGCATTAGCTTTTACAGCTCGTCCCAGTAGGGTAAACGTACATTTATGCGCGCTAAAATGTTGCTGTTCGGTTGTTGCAATCATTGATCACAGTTTTCACTGTTGCTGCAGTTGCTGTTGTTTTACTTTTGTTGAAATGTATGTTGCAGAGCATTTCAATGAATGCAACTTACAATTTTCAATATGAAATTATCTACATCTTGGATGACAACACTGAAGTGAATATTATAAATGAAAGAATATTATCAGTGAATATGTTCTCTTTCTCTGCATAGATCAAGAAAGCAGGTTTTGGATCAATGCATCATTTGTTTTTATGCATGCTAAGATTGAGAACCTCACTTGAGGCAAATGAATAATCTTCTTATATTATATTAAGATAAGTCTTCCATATCCTCCATCCCTGAGTTAGAAAGCAGCTTTTGGGGTGCTAATCAATAATCATCCTTGCTTGCAGCTAAATGTGATTGTCTATACAGGATCCTGCTGGTTAGGGATGGGTTAGTTTCCGCAAGGGAGGAAAACCAGAGAACCAATGACAACTACTTATGAGTTTTCAAGCAAGGGTAGTCATGGATTGGCACTCAAAACAAAAACACCAAATGGCCAATTTAAGTTTTATTCTGTTCAGATAAAATGTGCAGATTTCACTTAAACACACACACAATAGTGTCTTGGTTTCGCTGTGCAATTAACATGAAGACAATTCAAAACAATATCCATAGGGGACTGCTTACCAAAAGTTAATTATGATTGGTCATGCAGGAACCAATGAGCAGACATTTGTGACACTAATTTCAGTCATTTGTGAAATTGTTATAATCCACACTGGAGGTAAAACACTATGCTCAACTCAGTGGACAATGCTGTCTATATTTGCTGACAAGCTAGAACTTTATACTTGAGGCTATGTTATTAATCATCCACTCTAGCTATCATATTAAAGTTTTGTTATTCTAACCCCCAGTTGAGATGGACTCTTAAAAACTTAATTAAATTGGATATTTAACAGTCAATAAATCTTCTGTATTTAGAAACCAAATGTTAAGCTATTGTAATAATATACTTAAAGGATTTGTCTGTTTTGTTGTTAAGCTGCTCAGGATTTTCTCATATCATATTGCTTCAGGGTTGGCCAAGTAACAGCAAAAATCAACATTTCAAAGGTTTAGGGGTGCTCCAGATATCATATCCGGGTTCCATATATAGCGAGATAATCTCATTAACCCGCCGCAAATGTTATGTAAATGTTACAGTATATACTCAGCTGGATATTTTCCATATTCCGTTTTCCTAAACAATCTTGCAAGGATGTCTTTTATAGCATAAAATAGATTTGTCTGTTTTTATATAATATGACCATACACAAAACAATTTCAGTTGACTTGTACACTATTAAATGTTTCAATCTAGCTCAGCAAATCAGCATCTTGCACTAGCGCAGATGCAGCATTTGTAGTATTTGGAAATGAGCATTACGTAAACTTATTATTAACTTAGTATAATTACTTAATTATTTACTAACAATTAATTACTAACTAGGTATAAATTAGCAAGTATTAGAATGATGTGACGATGTTCTATATAATATGTTGTAAATGGACAACCCTTCATTATTACAAGCAATGCAGTCCCACTGTTTGTCATTGGAAATAATCGTACTGCTGTTGCCAGTCGTTGGGGCAAATGGTTAGGTCGCTTCAAGAATTATTGGGAATGGAGCAATGGATATCAAAGATATCACAACAAAACAAGCGATCATTTTGAAAGCGAAAAATAATTTTAATAACGTGTGATTTGGTTGTCTGTTGCCGAATATAGTATAACATTCAGACTCAAGAAATGTTGGAATTTCCCAATTTCTTAAATTGCTGAATATATTTTTCTTCCCGCTAACACTCGGGTGACCAAACACAGCTTTGTGTTGAGACAATCTAGTTTGGAAGATTTTATGTCTGGCTCATCAACATTAAAAACTGCATAAATGCATCAAGAAGGGCAGGTTTCCCCCTGAACAATTCCAGTCTTACTAACCAACAACTCAAGCAGTCAATAGTGAGATCTCACCTAGCATAAAAACTAAACTTTATGATGTGAAATAGCATACATGGTCTTGTTCTACAGGGCTTCACCACCTAGTGTTCATATATAAAGCTGTAGGTAGAAATATCTTCCAAAACATTATGTATCCATTCATATTAATTTCATAATGGCGACTTAATTTCATAATGGCGACCCATGAAATCAGGCTGAATTAGTCATGGTCAGGGCCATAGCCCAGTGTGACCATATATGCAAATTTTTTTACTAAAACTGCTTAAAATTGGTTGGCTGCCCCCTCCTGTTCTTAATGTTGCAGTTGTTTAAAGCAGGTGGGGTTGTCCAAGGGCATCCAACCGGATCTGGTAATAAAATGTACTAAACCTGGTCACACTGCGGCATAGCCAGATGCAATAATTGGGGGGGGGGGGTATATTCATATATTCATGTTCACATACAAAAACAATTTCTTTCAAAAGAAATATGTTGGGCAGAACATGAATCTATGAATATGCACCGCCCCCCAATCACTGGTCTAGCTACAGCCCTGGTCATGGTTAAAAAATGAAACCCGACAGATTTAATGTAGTCTAAATAATTGATGGACAATCAATCTCTTGAGATTTACAAGACAATGACATGGCAGCCATGCTCGAGGAAAACTTTTTGGCTGCCATGACATCAATTGCAAACCATCAATATAAACGGACATCAACCATACTGGAAAGTTCGTAATTCACACGCCGAATATTTCCGCCGACTGTTTTCTACCTTAATTTTATACGCCAAAGCGTGTGATATTCTTATGCCAAAGACCTAAACGGCTAAACTGACGAAGTCTATTAAGTCTATGAGTTTAACAATTAACATTGTAGCCCCCCCCCCAAACAAAATATGAAAATACACTACGTATAGTAGTATACATAACATAATTATCTGTAGACTACAATACATTGACAATGTCAAAAGTACATGAAATATAAACGATGTTCTACAGTTGGATCACAGAGTAGAGTCTTATCTACTCTGTGGTTGGATCAAAGTACATGAAGTAATGAGTAATGCAGTGCTTCCATTTTCAAAAAACATAATTTCCTTCCAACCGTTCAAAATTTCCTTATTTTTGAAAAAATTTCCTTGCAATAAAAATGATTGAATTTTACGTCTTTTACCTAATTTAAAACTGATTTTATAGTAATTTCTGTAATTTATCTCGAATAACAGGGTATTTCTTGTTCTAGAAGAAACATAGACGTTACAGGGGCTGATTTATCAAAGGGGAGAGACAAAGTGTTTACATAGATTAACACGAAGGAGAATAACCAGGGGGGTCTGGGGGTCCTCCCCCAGAAAATTTTCAGATTTTGCATCTCTTAGGACAGGATTTTCAGCATATTTTGAAGCACATTTCCTTGGCAATTGCCGTATTCTTAGGGTTTTTTAGAAATAAGGCAATTTCCTTCAATCTTCCGAAATTACCTTCAAATTTCCTTCAGATTCGAATTTCCTTATAATTTCCTTGAACTAGTTAAAATTGTCTTCAAAAAGGAAATTTTCTTCAAAATGGAAGCCCTGGAGTAATGACATAACGATCGAGCGCAAAATTCGAATCGTGTTTTTAAATCACCGTGTCCGTATGTTAATAATAAATAAAGGCTTAAAAGAAACTTTCATTCAATTCTTAATTTCCCTAATCCTTATACATTTTACATTTACGGGTTGTGAAGTTGGATTAAAGTACATATTTTAGACTTTTACGCCAACTACTTTTGAGATGATCTGTTCACGCCACGCCAGTTTGACATGGCCATAGAATAAGAAGGGCAACTGAATGTCGGATCCTTTGAAGTCGGTGTCCTCGCGCATGTCGTGTCGCGCATGCCGGAAATACGACGGCGGCCATTACTCTGGCCAGTAACTTGCAGCTGGAATCGATATAAAATATATGGAGTGAGAGCTGTGATTTGTTTTGAAATTGACATTTTGAGGATATTTGCTTATAAAATTAGATTTTAAAACCAAAATACCCAAGAGGAAGGTAAGTAGTTTGTATTTATTCATTTATTGGTCAAATAAAACATTTAATCGAGGTATTTATCAGCTACAAATATTACTATTAAATATGGAGTTGACGAACATTATTATTTATATATACAGTACACGATACAGACTATGTTTATAGGTTTTAAACTAGTGAATCGTTGTTAATCTTTGCAACTATCATACATATCATATCTTTTTTTATTTTTCGGGTCGTCTTGGTCTTTAAAGCTAGTGTGAACACGTTTTTTTTTGTTTAGATGTTGCAGTAATATTATATAGATTTGAGCATTTTGAGGGTTTTCATCCAGAGCAGAGCTGCTTTTTATGCACGTGGTCACTTCCATGTGTTTATAGCTGTTTTTCGTGTACAAGTTTGATTGAATTTAAGGGACTGGTCATAAAGTGACTGCTAGGGTGGGCTGGAGGCAAATCACAAATTTTGCCAATAAGTTTGGTGACCCAACTTAGGATGTAGATAAAAATTTCAAAGCCCATCTAATCTTACAAAAAAAATTTCATGACCCACCCAATCTAAATTGGGAAAATACACTTTTATAACTTAAAAAAACTTGCAGGTATATGAACATTGTAAATATACACGGCACTGTATTGACATAATTGAATTCCACCAAGCTTGACCAACACATTCATCACCAATTACGATACGACTGAGCTGCTCTCCAGTTGGTTGTATTTGCTGTGATTCGACTACTTCTTGTTGTATAAACAAAGTACTGGCTTCAATAGCATAATTTGCATTTGATAATTTGGATAGTTTTGTTTACTTTTATTATTAATATCTTTATTTGTTGAAGTAGACATACATGGGTTTTTGTTTGGTGACCCACCGTAGACATACAAAAAAAATTGGCGGCCCATCGAAACTGCCCAAAGATTTTCCATGGCCCATCCCAAATCACTCCAGCCCACCCTAGCAGTTACTTTATGACCGGTCCCTAATGTATTTTTTTTTTGTTTTTATAGAAGTGGCAAAGTCACTATCACAGAATAGAAGTGAAGGTTGTCAGTATGGTTCCAGCACAGTCCAATATTCAATTGGATTTGTCTGAAAGAACCTTGGAACTGTTTCAAATATTACTAACATTCAAAGATACCTTTTGAACATTGGCTACAAGTTGATTTTATCTTGCATAGGAACTACTTAGTTCTGTACTTTATATTGTTATAAACAAACTTTCAACAAGTCCCAATTGGTATTTTAATAAGCACAAGTGTACGAGTCTAAAACAAGTCTGATTTGTTGCAATAGTTCAAATGCATATATTCAGTGGTGGCCAATAGGGGGCCAGGTGGGCAATACCCCCCCCTAATAACTTTGTGTGGCTTAATAACTTGTATAACAAAGCTGTGACATTATTTTTTGACCATGAAAGCATGGTACTGTAGGTTATAGAACTATATGTAATATTGCATGAAATTTAAAGCAAGAAAGTTTATAAAAAATTAAGATCTCCAGGAACAAAAGGAATATATATGAAACCCATTCACATTCTACATTAAGAGCTGTTCATAAGAGTTGGGCTGACCTGGTAAACCAGGTTAGCTTGCCTTCATACACTAATGGAGGCAGGCTAGCCTGGCAAGCATTATGCAGAAATTGCAATATAATTTTGGATAGCTTTCTACATTCTTAGATTTATAGGTGTCTGAATGGCAAAATAAAGCATGTATCCACATTTGAATACAAACTTGAAATGGGGGTACCTAAGCAGCCTGGTCCATTTTGTAATGTCAGCACATCTCATATGGAACAGCCCCATATATTTGGTGTCCACATCTTGCACAATGTAATACTAGGAGAGAAATGAAAGAGTATTCAACATATTTTTGTAAAAAAATTTAATGTTTCTGCACTGCCATTCTGGCATACATATATTATATTACAAAGACAACACAATATGATCCAATCATTGACAAATTTATTGGTCTTCAAGAGAGTAAAACTTGAGTACTTGTTGCCAAGGCTTGAGTACTTCCAGAAGGCAGAAATTAAACTAAATGAAACAAAAATTATGACATGGATAATACTGTGTTATAGAAGGGCCACATTGCCAGCTTGACCTAGTCATGCTAGAGGCCTAAATTGCCCAGCATGGAAAGAAAAGGGTGTCCAGTTTTGTGCACAAATCAGTGATTCGCGTACACAACAGCTTGTATTGCTGTCGAATCTTTTGGCACAAAAACGATACACAATTCCTAGAGTCTAGACTCACTGCCGTCCGGTGCAGAGGAATTGCACATTCCATGCACTCAGGCAAAGTGATGTGTTGCCTGTGTCAGTGATTGTCAGGCATGGATGAAGTGTAAACATGGTCATAACTTGATGTTTGTGGTGTTACTCTGCGTGTGCATCCACACCGGGACAAACTAAAAAGTTTGCCTGACTATGGTGGGAATCGAACCTGTGACCTTAATGGGATACCAGTCCAATGCTCAACCAACTGAACTACTAGGTTAAGTCAGTTCAAGTTGGTGATATTTTGGAACTGAGTGTGGTTCCTTCGATATCAATGTATTCTAAGACATGATACTTTTTGTGTGTGTTAGTGTTATATACTTAGGTGACCTCATAGCTCAGTTGGTAGAGCATTGGAGTGATAACCCAAAGGTCGTGGGTTAGATTCCCACCATGCCTGACCGTGGTCAGGCAAACTTTTCAGTTTGCCCAGTGTGGATGCATACTCAGAGTAACACCACAAACATCATATTCACCAGAGTACATAACAACAAAAAGTATGGTGACTCAGTCTCTATATTTTAATTATAGCCTTGATAATTATAACATAAAAGAACAACAATTTATGACTTTTGTGATGCTGTTTAATACCTGGTTGAATAAAAAACAATAGATGAAATGCTTCTATGATATGGGCATACAGTAGTTAGGAATGTTTCTGATTCACCTGCAGCACATTTGTATACTATACTATAGTCTATCAGTTTGTTTTATACAAAATTTCAAACTTCAAAAAACCACTTATTTTACAGAAGGCAACACTTGTTATTTGTGAAAGAAACACAAAAGGAATCTTTTAGTTGTGTGTTTATAATAGTTGTGTATTTGTATAAATATACATGAAGATACATCCAGATCAGGTAAAATAACGTGAAAATATATCCGACATGGAAACAGACACTATACAATACTCAACTGTGCTAAATACGGAAAATTGGGATGAAATAATGCTTTTACTGTAAGCACATTGTTATGAAGATTTGAACTAACATAAGTATCTGATAAAATAAGAGTACCGTGCCAACTTCCCCAAGAATATACCAAACATTTTTATTCAATATACAAATATACAACTTTTAACAAGCAAGTAAAACGGTCAGTATTTGCTAATAGAACGTCTTTGGATTGCTTTTACCTAATAAATTGCAATGCCTCACCTTATTTCTTTCATCTTCTGTCAAAAACTTTCACGCTCATTGAAAAACTTGAACGAAAAAGGCAAATTTATAGCCCAAACACTACTCTTCTCCATATAATCTATAGTACGCCAGCAGCCAGTTTACTGGCCAGAGTAATGGCGGACCTGACGCATGCGCACAAAAAACCTAGGACGCGTTGTACACGTGAGTTGCCCTTCTATTCATTTCTTATTCTATGACATGGCCAAATAAACAGGCAAAATTACGCCAATTTTGGCGTAGTCGACTAAATTATACGCCGAATATATTCGGCGTAACATACAAACTTTCCAGTATGGGACATCAAGAACAATACTGACATAATTTTTAACAATGTTTATAAACTTTCAAACCACGCATATTTTCAAGTTATGCATTTTGCTTGCCAGCACTAAAAACATTACCGAGTCCTGAATATACAGTAAATATTTGCCCAAGCTCTGAATTTATAAAATAACTAAGCAAAAATACTTAAAATCTCAATACATACCCACGCGAACCATCAGAAATATTCAAATATAGAACTATCCACGTGTTTGAATATTCATATTTGACGTCCATATTCTATCGTATTTTCAGCCCAATAAAGTAATGCTGCTCTTTTTAAACACGTTTGAGAATACCGTGTACCATTCCGAGTATATAAAACAAGAAAACGTTCAGCAAAACATCTCATTTAAAAGGAAATTATTAAAAATAACAAACAACTTTAAAAGACTTTAAAACCCGGCGCCATTTCGCGCGACTTGAAGTTCTCGGCCCAGGCTGTGGCCGAGGTAGGCACGTGATCAGACTTCGTTCGTACATGTCGAGACTTGCCCTGAATAAATTAACAGGGAAATACCCGATACGCATTCCTAGCCAATCAGAAAGCTGCATTTCGCGTTGTGTTGTTGCTATTTTGTGATTTTGTATCAATAATCGCTTAATCGGTGCAACAAAATGGCCAGTGAATCGCCTATGAAAATCTGGCTAATAAAAATTGGCCTAATGAAATACTCGGCTTTGCTGAGTGGCCAAGGATATACGGATGAAATGGATATATTCATGCTGAATGAGAGGGATTTAAACAGCGTACACATCATGGATACCAGAGACAGGGATACAATCTTAAATGCAGGTTAGTATTCTTGAACGACCTTACCGCTGTATTGAACTGCGCCCTTAACAAACCCCTTTCACATTTGTACGGCTACAAAATAGTATTTATTAAAGAACCTGGTACTTCGATACAGGGCTAATTACACAATGATGTCAATGATCTGATAGTTACTTCAATGGCACTTAATTGGTTTTCTCACGCTGAGGATTTTACTTGTTATTATAGTTCTTGATTTACGGACGGAAAAGTAAAATAGTTGTCGAAAATATTTGAGCTCTTTCTTAAATCTATAAAGTCATAAAGTTGAACCTACCATAGCAGACGACAATTCTTCTCGCGGTTCAAAAGGCCGTTTGCGTAGCTATAAAAACCTGGCTATAGGATTTCTTTATGTTCACTTCCGAATCAAATAAACTGTGGACATTGCACGGGATGTTTAAATAAAAACAAATCATTAAAAATGTCTCACGTAGTGTAGACAGACTCAAGTAGTTACGACATTGCAGCTAGATCATTTTATTTGTTCGTAAATGCTTCCAGTTAACTTTAGAAGAACTTGTATACAGTTTTTACTTGTACTCACTATAAACGAAACTCAAGTTTCGCTTTCTGCTTTCAAAACGGGACAAACCTCGGGGAAAGTCCAGGTATTTGCTAATTAACATAGTAATTAACATAATTAGCATAATACAAACAATGACGCGGTCAAAGTTCTTTCCATTTTATTTATTCCAGCATTCTTGTACTTGGAGACAAATACAATTGAGAGATATGGTTTATTTTTACCCTTCTTCTAATGCTTGCAGAAACCAAGCAATATAAAGACCAAATTAGGCCACTTTTTGTTGTATATTAGTTTCTCATCCGGGGCTTCACCTAAAGTTGACGCGGGCGGGCATTACCATAATATACCGGAGTTTCCCCTCTCATAAAATTTATTTTGAGGAAGTGCGCATTAAGCATTTATATAGTGCATTACCATAATATACTGGAGTTTCCCTCTCCGTAAAATTTATTTTGGGAAAGTGGGCATTAAGCATTTTTAAGGACTGAAAAAGGTCGTCTCGTGTTTTTCTGCCCTGGCTTCCGGTAGAACTTTTATAGCTGAGTTTGGATATTTAATAAGCCTGTACGTAATGCGGGAAAAACTGGCAGTTTGGGTATAAAATTTCGTATTTTAACTATATTTTAACCTATAACATTTGGGTACATTTCTAATTGTCTTTCTTTCAATTTCCACTTTGGAGACATCACAAAATTTATAATAATGGTCAAAAATGGCAATAATGACGAAAAAGACCATTTTCTTAAAAAGCATGCGGGCGGGGATGAGAAACTAATATACAACAAATAGTGGACTGACACTAGACAACTTTTGCCTATAACTGTCGCATACAACCTGCTTACAACTCGAGTTGTATTGTGTAAATCAAGCACGTTGTCGTTTGTGAGTTGTGTGCTTCATTTATACACAGTACAACTCAAGTTGTAAGCAAGTTGGATTGGACAGATTTAGGCAAACGTTGTGTAGTCTAAAGCCCCGTTTACACTACGCTCAATTTTTGGTACGGCACGGATAAAATTGGTACCCGTTTTGGTTCTTGGACTACCTATTTAGGTAATACAAGAACCAAAAAAACTGAATCGAGCGTAGTGTAAACGCGGGGCTTAAATCGCCCTCAACTAAAACTAGACTATTATTTTGTAAGATCAGCTCACCTAAATATATTTATCTATAGTGTCACAGATAGGCATATCTTCTTGGCTGAAGTATTACAAGCTACAGGAGTATGAACAACACTTTAAACGACTTGGGATCAATACATTGGCGGAGTTAAAAAAACGAGCAATGTGCGATGATATGATGGATGAGCTCGAGGTCATGGTTCCTGGGCATAGAAAGAGACTTGTCGTGGCAGGTACGCAAGACTTTTAATACTTACATAAATAAGATCTAGGTCATGCTTTCTGGAGGTACAGGCTTGTAATGGTAAGTATACAGCTAGAGATTTATTTACTTTAAACAGCTCACAACCAATATAGATATGATATTTATACCTAAGAGCTAGAGGTCACGCTTTCTGGACCAGTGTCTGAACCTAAGAGACTTGGAAACGAGATACCGCGCAGAAAAAACTCGGCGTGCGATTGGGTTGCGGTGACAACACAGTTCAGTTTCGATCCAAAGGTTTCGGTCAGTGGTTGAACGGTCTTGCTAGCTAATAACTGAATATAATTGTGGTACATAAACCTGTATTTGTTTTCCAGCCAGCCACATTTGCCAGCCAGTACCTCAAGAAGTTGTCCAGCCAGGACCTCATGAAGTTGTCCAGCCAGTACCCCAAGAAATTGATCAGCCAGCCAGTACATCACAGGCACGACAGCCACTGGCTTACGGTTACTGGGCAAAAAGTAATGAAATGCAGACGTTCGAAACAGACTTTCTTTGGGTTGATGAATGTAAAATTAAATCCAATATTTGTGGACATGATCCGATAGAGTTATTAAACTGTATGGTGGACACAGGGAGCGAGGTGGTCACCATCAAAAAAGATATTTTGCCGGAGTTGAATCTTCAGTTCTTGCAAAATATAAACAGTAAAGGCATACACAAGGTTGAAGAGAAACCTTTGTATCGTGGAGTGCTAGTCCTTGGAAGTAAAGAAATCGAAGTAGATGTAAGTTGGATTAAGAATGATTACAGTGACTGCATGTCGTAATATGGATTAGAGTTATGGTTGAATATTTAAATCTCTTTGCAGAATAAATAAGGAAGTTGCATGTAGATATGATGTTGACAGTGTATTCTTTATTTCATATTAGGTGATGCCTGATTCATACAACTCTGTAGGATGCAACGTGTTTCAAAAATTTTCACATGTTATAGATGGACGTGGGCACATTTGGTTAGACTCTGGGAGTTAGATGGAGCATCAGATGACGTTTGAACAAATAATAATTTGACCAGATGCACGACAAGCGGGGAAAAAGAGCGATTGTTGGACTTGATTTGAAACGTTTCGTTTTTTGGTCAACGCACGCACAATCGTTTGCACGCAATCAGGCGCAATCTACCTTGAGTTCGAGAATGTATTAGTATTCGTTCTAACCAATCCCAAATTAGATAATATATTTAAAATTGTATAAAATAATAATTGAATTAATGATACTGTTTTAATTAAAATAATTAATACTGTTTTAAGTGTATATTATTGATTTTTCCGGTGAAATATTTGTTGGACTGCAAGTTTCTTCATGACAGAAATAGTTCCCACAGCAGTAAAACTTCAATTCTGAAAGCTAAATTTGATGCCATCATGAGACCAACACTTGCTAGAGTAATATCCACCCAGCTATCTGACCAGAGATCTAAAAACAATAAAGAACTTACCTAGATTAGGAAGATGAATGAAAGCTCAAACCGACTACTGTCATTTCTTCGAGATTCCCACAGAAATAGGTTTGTTTCATGCAAAGAAATGTTTATCAATTTTGCAAGTATGGGGTATGTACCCTGCTGGCAGTGGTTTCTGAGCTGAGATATGCATCTAGGGTAGGAATCTTAACATGTTCGTTCGCACTGTAGACCACTAAAGATTCCATCCTTTCATTTCGAATCATTAGCGACAGCGCAAACGAACACGTTTAAAGAACAAACCTACGAATGCTCGCAATTTCGCCCTTTGTGGAAGCATGAATCATAAAAACATCTTTTTTAATTACCCATGCTGGAAGCATGGAACTTCTTCAATAAAACCCATAAGCACGCAACTTCAAATAATTCGTAAAAAAGAATCTTACCTGGAACTTCATGACAGACCAATCTACCATACGAGGTCCGCACCAACATGAATAATAGAAATATCAAGATCGGGAAAATCTTTGCCATCGTTCAGAACAACTTCGAACAAACTCAAAGCACAAACTTGTTACGCAAAAGTAATTATGACGCAAGCAACATGGAGCAATTAATGCTAATTAGCGTTATCAAAACTGCGCGCGCACTAATTCGATCATGAGAGTTTGCAAGCCTCTCACGCGAGGCAAAAACGTCAGATGCGCGCTTAATCTACGCTTCAACCATAGAGCCGATAGAGACAGATCCTCTTTCACTTTATGAAAACACTATTTTACTAAATGTTTTATTTGAAATACTACATGAAGAATTGAAAAATTTGTATTTGTGTCCAAAATTACCGTGATTGTTTTCTAATTCGAGAGAATGGCTTCATAAGCTTCTTGTACACCCTTGGTCACGTCCAAGGCCTGAGTCTTTAATGCCAACTACACAAAAGAAAAACATTTTATTGTGACATCAAGAAGGGCCAGTTGCTCTGGTGTGCTTTACACCAGCACTATTGAAAACAGTCTAGTGTCCTTATTCTTTACACCAGCACTATTGAAAACAGTCTAGTGTCCTTCTAGTGTCCTTATTCTTTACACCAGCGCTATTGAAAACAGTCTAGTGTCCTTATTCTTTACACCAGCGAGTCTAGTGTCCTTATGAGAAGAAAGCATTTTTATTTACCTGAACATTTGGATTGTGTGGATCCATCTTGAGCTCAGCCAACACCCAGATGTTGTTGGTGAATTTCAGCGACTGATACAACATATCCTGAAAATCACATCAAGCAAAGCAGAATGAAGCAGAATTATAGTGAGAATGAAACCATGTTACACGCACAGAAGTATAAAGAACATACCTGACCATCCACTGTACGTTTGGCAACAGTAAAGACATTGTTTGCAGCAAGCTTTTGTTGCGCCATTTCTGAAGAACAGTAACAGTACATGCAAATTAGCATTGATCAACAAACAACACGAATGATCAATGACGAACATCATCATCAATAACGTTTTTCAGATGACACCACTCTGAGCGGCTCCACGCCGGACTGAAAAATTTGGAAGCTGTGAACTGTACTGTAGTTTGCTAACATTACAAAGAAATACTTTACCTGAACCAACATTACAATGAAACTGTTTCTGAACTTCGTTTGACGCAGGGATATCTTTCCACATTGCTAAGAACACTTTACGATCTGGAAATTTGAACAAGAACTGACTTAATACATCGCGATTCGTAAACATGACAAAATTAATGACCAAAACAACGTTTAGAAACACAACATTCATCCAACATAGATCATGTTTGTCAACATAGTTAAGACGAAAAATCTTTCATAGTACAGTAGCGCGTAACACGTAGCGTGAACGAAGTTCATAGACACTTCTCGAAAGTATGTCACTTTGGCTATAGAGCCTCGTTTTCGTGATGAACTAATCTCGCACACATGAAAGCGAGGCTCTTTGGTACCAGCACATCTCGTGTTTTGCAGTCAATAACTACACGCAGCATTGTACAAATATAACAAAAGACAATTTTATTTACGGGCGTAAGACATATCTTTGATTAAGGCGACCTACCCATTTGTCCAGCTTCAATAAAGAGGACATGCATTGGTACAACGCAACTGAAGTAAAACACGTCGATATTGTTCTTGATCGCAACTTGCAGGTTCGTCAAAGGATCCATTCGTTGAATTGGACCAGCTAAAAAAGACAGAAATGAGCGGGAAGAAAACGCTTGTAAAACCCCTCGACTGTCCTCGCTTTTGGCCTTTGCATAAATGTTCAAATAAATCGAGCGACTATGAAGAACAGAATTTTGAAAATGATGACAAGGTAACAGCGCATTCCGTTCAATGAATCGTTACTGAATGGCACTATCGTTATGTTGGGTGTAGTGCAAGGCGCCCACTGCACTCAAATGAAACTGCACTAACATGCACCAAATACAGTAGTGAGAAAATAATGTTAATCCTTTTCATTACAGGTAGTAAGTAGTCTTGTACTTGGAGTTATATTCTCTCACAACAAAAAAGATATTCTCTAACTACAGTAAAAGATATTCTCTCACAAAAGAAGATATTCTCTCGCAGTAGAAGGTATTTTCTCACAAAAGAAGATGTTCTCTCGCAGTAGAAGATATTCTCTTACTTGTGTTGAGCAACAACGATGTTTCCGAGGATTGGTTTGCGGGTAGAGGACTGGGCACGTGTAACTGCGCTCCAGGTACGAGACCAAAACTAAAACAAAATAGTGAACTAACTTTAACTAGACTGGGCAGTGTACTGCGCTCCAGGTACGAGACCAAAACTAAAACAAAATAGTGAACTAACTTTAACTACACTGGATAGTTTGGTCAGTAGGCGATGCAGAGATCCGGCTCATCTCTTATTGATCCAGTCTTACCAAACCTAAGTACTATGGGTAGAGTCAGACTGGAAATATTTCAACAGAATTGAAACTGCATATTGTGGGGAATCATAGTCTTGCTGTGCTGTGATATAATTTTGAACGGCCTGTTTAGGTAATGCCAATAATAAGAAAGACGAACTTCCCGACGCCTTCACTCAAAACGTCAAAATTCCTCTTGTATTGTTCATGTAGTTGTATCTCATCCGCAACTTTTCCAGTACCTGTTTTTATTAAACTGTACAGCAAAACCTCCCATAGCTTGCATTGCTCGATTGGTGATTGAACATTCCATAAAGATCTGACCTTGACGGCGTGAGAATGTTCCTACAATCACAAAATACATTTGATATATCAATGACAGCCCGCGTCCTGTCAGGCTCAATGTGCAAACTATCATTTCATGTGCGCTCAAACAAACTGGGGAGGTGACACATTACATATTAGCAGAGATTACAAACAAACTGGCAAAGTGACCATGACAGATCATAGACAATCCAGAAGACATGTCTTCTGGATTGTCTATGGACAGATACATTCATTACATCTTACCAGAGATTTCAAGACCTTTGCCTTTGGCAGCTGGCAACCAAATCTTCAAAACAACAGAAAAATAGGATTAAAGCAAAAGCTAAAAATACCCAAAGAACTGTTCATGAATGTTATGGTGCTTTCTCACTTACTGTTTTAGGCCAAACATAGCCAGCAGTGAGTCCAGCACCACCAGACAGACTGAATAAATCACCAAGACCACCAGACGACACTACACCAAGACCACCAGACGACACTACACCACCACCACCAGCACTGGGGGGAGCTGTCATAGGACCTCCAGATACCGCACCACCAAGCTGAAGTAATGAACATGATTAGTTCAAGCATTACAACTTACAAGTCTTGTAAGTTGTAATGCTTGAACTAATAATACAAGATTAGTAAATACTGTATTAATAAAGAAGCCATACCTGCAGCCCTCCTAGGTCAGCTCCTAAAAGATCAACTCCGCTGTGACTGTTACCTATGTTTAGGAAAACAAAAATAAGAGGCTCGTGGGACGATTTAAATTGCTCAAGAAATAGGAGCAAGCGTGTTAGCGTGTTTTTGCATGTATGCAGTAGTCTTGTATGTGGAGCTGAGAGATTTGCTTCCGCAAGTTGACTACCATCTATGCTACCATCTCCTGTCCAGCTTACTACTGTATATATCGTAATGTACAGCTTGCTACTGTATATATTGTAATGTACAGCTTGCTCAAGTATGATCTACATTACATCACTTACTATATATCGTAATATACAGCTTGCTCAAGTATGATCTACATTACATCACTTACTATATATCGTAATATACAGCTTGCTCAAGTATGATCTACATTACGTCACTTACTATATATCGTAATATACAGCTTGCTCAAGTATGATCTACATTACGTCACTTACTATATATCGTAATATACAGCTTGCTCAAGTATGATCTACATTACGTCACTTACTCATAGCTGCAGGCGGCATAGGAGCTGCGGGCTGTGCAGGCATACCGCCACCAAAGTCCATGCCAATCAAGTCACCAATCAATGAATCTCCTTGTGGTGGATGTGAAGGAATGACAGTGGCCTGTTGAGCTACAGGCGGACTGGCCTCGGTCTGGGCACTGGGAGGGGTGGGCTCAGCTCTGGCGGGTAAGGTGAAGCGGCGGGCGCTAGTACGTCCTTCAACAAAGGCACTGGGGGGTTTATGATAAACTGAAGCCAAGGAGGAGATATGACAGATGAGTTCATCCAACAGAGTGGGCTCCAGTAAGTCTGTGTCTTCAGAGATCAGAGGTTTCTCTGCCAACACCACTTCCTACAACATCAAACACGGAATAGATTAGACTGGATTAAATCAACTATTAACAAACTTTCGTTCGTAGGGATGCAAAATAAGACATTACCTACACTGGCAGAGACCGTTCAAAATTATAGATGAACTATTGGCTTCTTATACATTGTACATTGCAGTAGTTTAACGATATGGCTTTCGCTATAGGCTTCTCCATGTCAGATGGCATAATTTGTTTCCAAGAAACTTTCGGGTGGTGTGTGTTGATGACTATATCCATTTCTTATATAAGTCTTCACAGTCAATATACATTACAGTACTTTCCCTTGGCTGCAGCAGGATAAGTAGCACACATACACACACACATCAGTAGTAGATATAACCTCTATCTCGGAGATCTTTACATATACACTATACTGTACTTCACAAAATCACAGTCAATATAATTACAGTACTTTACCTTGGCTGCAGCAGGATCAGTAGAAAGCAATCTCCAGTAGATATAACCTCTATCTCGGAGATCTGGGTTATCACTATCTTGAGTAGCGAGACTAAGAACTTGTTGAACCAACTCCTGGGTTTCTGATGGGCGTTTGAGAAACAACTTCACAATGCCAGTCAACAGTTGTAATTGAACCTAACAAAATAAACGAACAACTTCGATTCAATGTTTCAATCCAAAAAGATCTTACCCTAACTGCCTGATTGGAGGATAATGTACCTGTGTATTTTCATCTTGAAAGCCTTCAAGGAACGACTCAAGAAGTTCGGCAGCATTATCAATTCTCTCCGCATACTCTCCAATGATCCAAATCATTGACGCTCTAAACAAACGTGCACTGTGTTTAATACTTTGATTGAATATATAATTTCATGATGATATTTTATAATGACTGATACGTTATTTAGGATATGTATGTCTACAGTGAAATGGCCAGCACATGTTACGTTGGACATTTGTCTGGTAGACAATCTTCAATTTAGGAAACTACTTCAAATTTCAGGAATGATTTGCCTGTCATTTATTGTAGCTTCCAAAGCAAATGAAAAACCTGAATTATGCTTCCCAACAGTAAAATTGAGCGTGATCTTTCCTAGCTGCTGAATTGCAACGGAGAAAGCTCAAGCGTCACTGAGTCTTACTAAGACACTTCTGGCTGCCATGATCATACAACCACGTCTGATCCATAGATATCTTATATACACTAGATAGTGCATCTAATTATTCTGCAATTCAAAAATTGAAGCCGTGATTGCAGACTCAGGATATTCCCATGAAATGAGAAGATTCGTATGTTTTCTATTTTTTAAACAGTGAACTTAAAAACATTAAGTTAAACCTATTCCAAATACATTTTTAAACTATTCAAATGATGAAAGTTATTGTTGTTTTTTAAGCGTTTATTAGCGAGTGGGAACTACCAACATGGCTGCCATCTATTCAAATGGGGTAACTTCAGTTTTACTAAACAATTTATAAGATATCTATGGTCTGATCACGGTATTCACGGAACACAGCTAAAGTGAAGTTATTAATTTCACACCTTGCTTCAGACTCATCCAAGGAGTCCAGGTTTTCACACAACGTGGAAATGATACTTTCATACTTGTTGGGATATTTACGGAAAATATCCTGAAAGGTTTAATATCAAAAAAAGAATTAATATCAAGAAAAATAAATGTACTGTACCAAGATAGTTTGGCAAGAACAAAAGTTGTATACCTTGATGACAACAATGGCTTCCTGTACGACATAGTTGACTTTGGTCTGAATAAGATCCAACAATGTACTCACACACTTCTCAGCTGATTGCTAGATAACACATTCAACACAGTTACCTTCCAAGTATCACATACCAGGACATCCTGTTACATACAGTTAAAAGTATTCTACCTCTACTTTGATAGCACAACGTCCTATGGCTCTCACAGATTTTCTCACAAAATCAACATCCACTTCAGTTGCATATCTGAAAACAAAATTTATCTTAATTCTTCACAATGATTACTCAGGGAGTGAATGAATGGCCCACAAATGACAAATCCTCATGCAAAAAGCAAATTATAGGACAAAAAATTAGTGAACAATTCTTCTGAACAATTTGTAGATCAACTTTTCATTCATTTTTAAGCCCTGGGAATCCCTTGTCGAACAGCTGATCAGATCTACAGCTAACCAGTCAAAACTAGATCAGATCTACAGCTAACCAGTCATATTTTACAGCTAACCAGTCAAAATATCTTTCAACAGTTGCAAAACATTATACAAAGGAATATTCAAGAAATTTGTAGGTCAAAATTGAAATTTGTAGGTTAAATCAAGCATAGCCTACAATTTTTGAAAATAACTGTGGGGTAGAAAAAATTCTTAATTCACACCTTGCCATTGGAAATACATAATTTTATAGCCACTGGCTAACTGTATGAGGTAAATTAGTCTTTTCTATCAAAATTTGATAAATGTATGTTGTCTTCCTTACTCCTTGAGTTCAGCCAAAACTTGTGCAATGTTTTGTTGATTTGCCAGACGGATCATAATGTCCAACTTTTCCAGTTTCACATAAATGGGATCATTGTATTTCACGAAAAACACTTTCATCTCATTTCTCAGAATTTCTGGTCTAAAAGACAGAAACGAAACACAAAGTTGTAAGCTCAAAGATGGATCAAGGAATGTCAGGCGCTCAATGGGCAAATAAGTCATGATAAAGCACAAAACAAATAAGCAAGATATTGTCTTGATACTGATACACATAACACATGCATAAATAACTCAATAACTCAACTTTAAGGTGCATTTCCATTCAAGAAAAATTTCCACAGACAGAATATTTTCCCAAAATATCATTGTTAAAAGTTGAACATTTTCAACTTCAAAATTATTTTCCAACAGAAAATTTGTGTTGGCCATCACATTTTACAAAATTTTCCTTCCGTGGAAAATTTTCCTGAGTGGAAATGGTGCTTGGGAATTGATTAATTTAGGTGACTGGCAAACCAACCTCTTCTGAACAATCAAGTTGATATTTCTCAGAGCTACATACTGCACTTCAGCCTCACTTGACAATAATGTAACTATAGAAAAGACAACATTTATTTGGCAAATCTACGTAAAGCCCATATCTTCATTGTAATATTTTAATTAATGCACCCTACTTTATTATTTACTTGGTCTAACGCCAGAAAATATTTAAAGAAAATATCGAATCTACTTGAAGAAAATGTTGTATACATACCTAAAGGTGGAGCAAGTTTCTTGATGAGGCTTTGCGTGAATGAAGAACCTTCCAAGATTTCCATGTATTTCATGAGAACCTAGAAAGAATGCACGACTATGAAGCAAGATGACTAACAGCACACACTGATTTTAGCGGGGGGGTTGAACAGGTGGGGGTCTGGGGTGGCTGCCCCCCCCCCTGTACACAATAAATGTAGTTGGGACGCAATGTGTTAAAGATGGCATTGTTTTTCTTGTGTTGTGTTGTGAAATGAATTCCAGCCATTTTTTCTTAATTGTGGGGTTTCCACCTGAAAACAAATTTCCATACAAGTGATACAACACAAATTTAACTCAAACAATTTCATTTTTACTGCACTGGAACTTTTAGTGAGAAGATTGAGTTTCAAAACTCAATTCAACATTGAGATTTGGGGCCATTTTGTGGCCATAAAAAAACCTTGTTTTAGTTAGTATAGTTCAATATTTCTTGATGCATGTAGACAAGTGAGAATTTTCAACTATGCATACCTTCACAGCTGAGAGAACAACAGCAGCATTAGCATGAGACAATCTTGGCGTCACTCTTTCACATACACTACAAGAATATCAAAATTATGCAAACATTAGTATTCATATGTGACTGTGCAAAATATTCACTAAAAACACACCTTTGCGCTTCCTTGTCATCACGAGGGTTGTATGTTGCTAAGCAATCAAGAATAAAGATCTGACCCCATCTGCAAATAAATAGCAGAAAATGAGAATTATAGCAAAACTTCAGTAATTTGCTTATTTGATGGCTTTCAGAAAGTGTTACAGCAGATGATACATGTAGGAAAAAACTAAGCTACATCTCTCAATTTTATTTACAGTATTTGTCACCAAATACAAGGCTACTTTTAAGAACATTATTTCCTCAGTCTGAAAAGTGCAGGTTGACCACCATCTGCTGCATGACTGTCATTGAAATGCAACCAACCAGGCATTACAGAACATTCATTTAAAGTAGACAAAGTATAACATACTCTGTACATTCATTCAATGCTTCACACATATATACTGTCGTTGAAATGCAACCAACCAGGCATTATAGAACATTAATTTAAAGTAGACAAAGTTATAACATACTCTGTACATTCATTCAATGCTGTACACATACAGTCATTGAAATGCAACCAACTACTGCAGGCATTACAGAACATTCATTTAAAGTAGACAAAGTTATAACATACTCTGTACATATATTCAATGCTTCACACATATATACTATCACTAAAATGCAACCAACCAGGCATTATAGAACATTAATTTAAAGTAGACAAAGTTATAACATACTCTGTACATTCATTCAATGCTGTACACAACTTGTTCACTGTCTGTGAATTCAGTTCCAACGCTTCAGCCGCTGATGACGACACATCACTGATCTCACTCAACGCAGCTACTGCATTCGCTACCACCTACATAAATATTATGTTAATTTGGGTATAAAAGATTAATTGTTGTACTGTACTGTACACATTATTTATATTTCTGAAATTCAATTATCCATAAATAAAACTGAAAGGACGCAAGTATTGTGACATTGTCTTGATATCATAGTACTGTACTAAACCTTCATAAACTTTCGTGTTCAATTCCTCTTTAACCCTTTAAGTGGCAATGCGCCATGATGCACCCTACTTTAGTATTTTACTCTGTCTAATGCCAGACGATTTTACTTGTGTCAAGTGGAGAGCGCTGCCACTCAATAGGTTAATTTGCAATGTGCCCAACTGCACCCTGCCTTATACTTTACTCTGTCTAACACCAGACAATTTTACTTGTCAAGAAGAAAGTTCTGGCACTCAATGATTAAAAGGTCCATTTAAGATGTAATATCACACACCCAAGGTCATCTATTACAGTACATTGAAATTGGTACAAAATAATAAACCTCAGGGCTGGTTGTTCAAAGCTGGATTAGTGTTAACCCTGGGTTAAAATTAACCTGCCCTTTTGGTTTGGGTAGACCTGCACGTCTGTTTATTTCAAAACTTTCAAAAATAAAACTTCTACTGATCCAGACAAAATTTCTAGAAAACTATTTCCATGTTTATGAACAAGCTGTAGGAGAAGATTAATTGTTTAACCTGGGATTAAACTAACTGGCATTTGAACAACAGCCTCTGATGTATTATGGGACAAAGTTCTTGCAAATCTAAGATTTTATGAGAATACGAGAATGTAGTGACAACATTACCATAGGGTTTGAATCAGAGAGGAGATCTTTCAACTGATCAAGAAATCCTTGATCTTCCACAAGCTGAGCATTAATGTCATGAAGTTTTGCGACACAAACTGCTGCAGTTTTCCTCACATAAGGATCTTCGTCTTTCAAACATTTCCTCAGCGGCTCGCACAGATACTCTGTGATCTTGTCCACACGGATACAACCCATTGTACGCACAGCCAGTGCTCGGATCAGGGGATTTGGGTCATCACAGTCCTGAAACATCAATCATTTTATCATTTAAGCCCTGTACAGGTGAGCACATTTTCCTCGACAAGTTTTATTTGCTCGTGTGATGGCAAAAACATTTTCCAAGCCAAGCAGCCTTGTTTCAAAGCTAGTTGTGTCAGCTTTTGGACAAGGAAAAGTTTTCGTGTGTACGGCCGCCAAGGAAAACTTGACAAGTGTACAAGAAATATTTCTATGGTTTTGGCAAACACAAGGCAACAAAAACTTGTCAACCATACACACAAGAAAGTCAACTTATCAAGGAAACTTGTGAGGCAAAACTTGCTCATTTGCACAGGGCTTTAGTCAGCCAGCAAGCCAATCAACATGGATGTTCACCTTGACAAAAGTATTGACAGCCATGATAGCCATGTCAGGTTGAGATTTAGCGTAATTCATGAGATAAAGATACACCAACTTCTTCAACTCCAAGTTGTCAGTCTGCATACAGTTGACGACATCTGGAAATAACGAACTAAAAACAATTTTCTAATTAGTCTTCAACTCATTAGAACACAATAAGTCCATCTATATATTACCTAACATCTTTTCCAACAGTCATACTGGCAATCACTTTCTTAACTGCTTCCTTTTTTCTATCCTTTTTCTCACTGTTCAGTTCCGCCTTTAGTTCAAATATTTCACCTGCAATCACAAAAACTCTGTCTAACACCAGACAATTTTACTCGTCAAGGGGAAAGTGCTTCCACTCAATGGGTTAAGAAAAGTATAAAGCAAGATTTTATCTCAAGATGGATCATAGAATTTGAACGAAAAAATTACTCAGTAATTTTAGAACCAGGTGCACATCTCTCTGTAAATACACAATATTATAATACAAATATAGAATACCTTTCTTGGTTGTCGTAAAATACTTCGAGTCTGTCATTGTTGCGGACTGTATATGACACTGTATTAAACCCTAAAACATACATTCTAATGATGAATACAAGTTACATACTTTACCAAATCAAGTAATACAAGTATTTGATGGTGTTAGCCTGATAGTGATTGAACGATAATCGGTATCGGCCCGATTTTTGCCTTGTTGGTAGCCAATCGGTAGAATTATATATATTTCCAATTTTCTAAAACCGATTGTTGAGAAAATACACATTTTAAACATTATACGTATGTTAATACATGTTGCATTTTAATGCAATATGTTAAATTAATGCGTGAAGCATTTATTAATGGTTTTAACAATCTTTGGTTGCAGTAACATTTTACGTTAGAAATTATCGTTAAAAAATCAACATGAATGATATCACCTTCACTTGGTCGACTGATATTATGATGTCATTATAAAATAGGTGTCAGCATCGGTAACTGGAGATTGTGGCATGAATAATCATGGTAATTTGATTATTGCACAATTAGTCAATCACTAGATGGTGTGTTTTCATGCTGAACAACCATGTTTTGAGCTTACATTTCACTCAAGTTTCAGTCATTATTCGGGTACATTATTAAAAGTATAAATTTTTTAAAATTTGATACAATACTAAACAGTAGCTGGTTTTAAATATATACAAATATTCTGCATATGCTTGTTTGTTAATATAAATACAATTTCAACAAATAAAACAAGCAAATCGTTTCAAAAATCTTCCTAATTATCAAAAGAAAACCTTGTTAAATTCTAGCGAGCCTAAGGAAAGATTTTCATACCCAAATCGAGACCCAAATTCATACTTCCGAGGGGGACGCCATATTGGCGTACTTGAGCATCAAAAAAGTTTAATTTAAACGTGCATTTTCTTACAAAATACTTTTAACTAACGTTAAACCGTACATAACTAAGCAAAGACTTACTCTGTGTTACGATTTATGAAGAAATGATCAAGATTTCGCAAGATTTTGCCAAGAAATCGCCTTGAATTGCCTTTTTGGAGCAAATAAAGCTGAGATCGAGCGAAGAAGAAATCTGGATTGGACTGGGGAGAGTAGCTGAGGGAGGAGACGTAATTTATGCAACAAGCCCCAGAGGTAATCCTCGCAATCCTAAACCTAGCCTAAACCTAACCCAGATCTTTATCTTAATTTATAAACTTTATATAATACTGACCCAATATCTGACCCAAACCAGACATTTATATAAGGATATTTAAAGTCACCAATGAACAAAATTACACCGGCGCGAACAAGCCTAGTTTTTATTTGGTTGTAGCATAGGCAGCCGAGATATATATATATATACAATGAATCATCGTGATGACACTGCCCACGCGAGCGTCGCACGACCGTGATAATTTCCACGCGCGAGAACGCGCGAGTGTTTAAAGCTATTTCGCTTTCAGAAACTAGAATAAAATCAACACATACAGCTATTCGCAATACTCGTAATCATATGTAAAAGGAATGTGGTATAATTATGCAATATATTATGTAGATTAGGTATCATGTGATACAGGCAATGTATAAAATGACAACACCTGGCAGAAATTGCACCATTTAGCGTGAATTCCGTCAGGAGACACAAATCTGACAGAAATACAAAACAACCCACCCGCCCACCCACCCATCCACCCAGAAATTCGTCCAGTTCGAGCGCTTCTGTTGCCACGCAGCCTTTCCACATCTGTTCAGACCCATATTTTCATCCCAATACCTTCATTGAACTGAACAGATGACGCGAGTGTTGCTGAATAGCCAACTATTTCAATTAAGATTGTCCCCGAGCAAAGCGGAAAAGTCGAATACAAGCGCGAAAGGCTGCTGGGAGTTGTATATCTGGGCTGCCTATGGTTGTAGCTGTTTGCGCCCACGTCTAGGTAATCGATGTCATACACCTAAGCAATCAGTAGTTTTACTAATTTTTTTTCATTTAAAAAAAGCAGCAGAGGCCATGCAGCAAATAATAATAAAATACAATAATGATGATAATATATTATATATATACCATTCCCTTTAATTAAATTCATTTAGATCGCTCTGAAGATGTTATATGGTAAACAACAAAAGTTTAGCTATTAATTTTTTTACTTTTATTATGTTTCTTGCGCACTGCTCCGATCTTTAAATTAAGATTTCCGCCTGTCGTATCAATTAGCCTTTCTCACGATGGCGAATATCCGCCATTTTTGGGTGGCATCTAATTCTCGTAAACCAATGCAGACAATTAAAACAATGTGAAAAGCAATTTTTCAAAATAAACTAACCATTCACAAACAAAATTTACCATCATTCGTCCAAAAAATTATAAAAAGTCGCTGTTATGTGGACTTATCTCTCAGACTTCGGCTGAAATGCCACCCAAAAATAGCGGCGTGAGAAATTGCAACAATTCTTTTGTAATTCTCAATTTCTCGTTAACTCAATTCATCAGTGAGCTTGGCTTAGAAAATTCAACCACGCTTGCCCGTTGCCCGCATTCTTGACTCAACTAAAGTTGAGCTTCTCTTAGAAAATTTCGACCAAAGTTTGACTTCGGCTGGGCTTGACACCTAGAAAATTTTTGGCAGATCGAAATATTTCTTCGTCATAGATCGACTTAGAAAGGTTCTAAACGCATATTAAAGGAGATAGGTTTGGCTCATGGGAATTTTAAAGCCCATTTTCACATGGCTATCATAGCACTGAGCTGTATGCAAATGATTCCTTGCCCGTCCCGATTACTATAAATTACACTACGCTTGCCCGTCCATTAATATAAATTACACTACGCTTGCCCGTTGCCCGGATTTCTGAGTCAAATAAATTTTTGGCGCATCGAAAAAATTTTTTCGTCATAGATCGACTTAGAAAGGTTCAAAACGCATATTAACGGAGATAGGTTTGGCTCATGGGAATTTTAAAGCCCATTTTCACATGGCTATCATAGCACTGAGCTGTATGCAAATGATTCCTTGCCCGTCCTAGTCAATATAAATTGTACTACGCTTGCCCGGATTTCGGAGTCAAGTAAAGCTAGGCTTGACACTTAGAAAATTTTTGGCTGATCAAAAAAATTTTTTTGTCACAGATCGACTTAGAAAGGTTCAAAACGCATATTAACGGAGATAGGTTTGGCTCATGGGAATTTTAAAGCACATTTTCACATGACTTTCATAGCACTGAAGCCGTATGCAAATGAATCCTTCCCCGTCCTAGTCAATATAAATTGTACTACGCTTGCCCGGATTTCGCAGTCAAGTAAAGCAAGGCTTGACACTTAGAAAATTTTTGGCAGATCGAAAAAATTTTTTCGTCATAGATCGACTTAGAAAGGTTCAAAACGCATATTAACGGAGATAGGTTTGGCTCATGGGAATTATAAAGCCCATTTTCACATGGCTATCATAGCACTGAGCTGTATGCAAATGATTCCTTGCCCGTCCTAGTCAATATAAATTGTACTACGCTCGCCCGCGGGATTTCGGAGTCAAGTAAAGCTAGGCTTGAC